ATGTAAGTCAATGGGAAAAAGTGTTTGTGGGCCCAGCAACCTAAAGGAAGTGTAGTACCGCCATTTGGCCACAACGAATATTCTCATCAGACTCCGGCGCACTTTCTGGGGGCTTGGTTCAACCTCCACTGTCCGCGGCCGCAGCTAGACCCTTCTCAGCCAGCGTAGTGTCGTGTCAGGTGGGCGTGTCGTGTAGTGTTGTGTACTGTCCGCGGCCGCAGCTAGACCATATTGGCGCGTTCTGGAAAGTGAGAGACTAAGCTACTACGGAGTCCCTTAAAGCAAAACAAATCTGCGGAGTCTAGAAATGTTTTTAAATCGCGATTTTTCGGTTCAGCCATTTCACAAACCGTAGGAAAGTAAAATGCAAATTAATCGTTAAAACCGAAAAAATCGGCCAGCCCTACTCAGAACACGTGTCTGTGTTTCTTTCTGTTCCCTGCGCTTTTTTAAAGGAAGTGGGCACTGTGGCAGAGCCTATTTTAATTTCATAAATGATGTTTCCACAGCTTCTTGGAGCATTTAATTATTTTTCATGTATTTATATACGCATCTGAAAAGCAGTTGCCAAGCAGATTTATCTCTCAGATGTGTTGTGTCTCACCTTCATAACAAAGGAATGAGCAATAATGAAAATTACACTATGACATTTATTATTAACTGTGAAATTTAGATTCTTCTCTAAATACACAGCAAGGAATGACAATAATTGACAGGTGTGCCATCAAGCTTAGAATAATTCTTAGTAATCATGCTGACAGTATATAGTGTTCAGTGTTTCCCCTAGGTATACTGCTTTGGGGGGGTGCTGCCTGAGGAGGGGGGGCATTGGGATATAAGGCAGGGGCAGGGCAGAGTCCATGGAGGGGTTCTCGGGCGGACGGCCCGGGGGCAAGGCAGAGTCCATTGGAGGGGCGAAGGCCACAGCGGGCAAACTCAGGGGGGCGAGCATGAGGGCGAAGACCGCGGCATTCAGGGGGCCGGGCTCGAGGGCGAAGACCGCAGCTCTCAGGGGGCCGGGCTCGAGGGCGAAGATCGCGGCACTCAGGGGGCCGGCCTCGAAGGCGAAGACCGCGGCTCTCAGGGGGCCGGGCTCGAGGGCGAAGCAGGCAACGACAGAACAACTCCGGAGGGCAGGAAGGCGCTGACGGGACAGCTCCGGAGGCCAGGCAGGAACCGGAGCCGGTGGGACAGGCTTCAGCAGGATCCCCAACGG